TATTAAAAAAAATGGAGAACTCAACACCTATCTAATTGGCAAACTTATCTTAAAATAAACTTTAGCGACACCAACTTCATCTAAAATTTGTAACCACAATTTGACGAGGTGCGATGGGTGAAATTAGATGATGCTGATGAAGCAACTCCCAGACGAGTACTCTTAGCATTGCAGTTAAAAACCAAAGAAAAAAGTCAAAAACAAATGTTATTAGATTACCACAACTCAATTGGAAATGTGGTGGAGGAAGAAGGTTATCATTTTTATTTGACAGTTGGCAGTAAACAGAAACTGAATCAATCACATTGGATGAAAATGCCAGCATTGGTAAATAAATATGAGCTCAATTGAATCTTAAAAGTACTATAAACTCGAACAGAAAAGTAGTTATGGGTTTTTTTTAATTTAAAATACTTCTCACAGCATAAAATACAAAAATGAAAGAGACAAGCCAACATCTACAAGGGCTCGCTCCTTACAATAAAAATATAAAAATAGAGATATAGATATAAAAAATTATAGTACAAACACATTGCCACCATAAATTTTTGACACAGAAATATGTAGAATTAATAATAAAAATAATAAATAATAAAAAATAACAATAAAAAGAATAAATCTATAAGGCAAAATAAAATTGGTGGGTGGAGCCATCTAACCTTGATTTTTTTCTACTTAGTCTAAAGTGAATTTCATGGCCCCCACATCCCAACTTTATTAACCCATTTACACATCCTTAAAATCCACTCATTTTTATTTAGAGTTACCAATGTTATCAATCACCTACCCTTAAAATGTACTGAGCACCCTTAGTTTTCTACAGCTGCGATACAATATTGTTTTGTATAAAATTGTATAAATTATAGGGGTACCTGAAGGCAAAATTATATCACTAAAATCAATATGCAATACACAATTAAGGGTCATATAAGATTAGTGTTTTTATGGAAACAAATACAACAACTCTAGCCTATTTGAGGAAGTTTCTCTTCTGTAACTGTAATGATAAAATTGCGATTAAATAACTCTTCAATATTTACCTTACATGGTGTTTCTATTTCAGGATTTTTCCCTGTAAAAGGCCTACTTTACACAGAGTGCGACAGCAGCAGAAAATATAGAACTTATTGGGTTAGCAGCGTATACTCTTTTATGACAATGAGAAAAAAATGATGACAGCAATCATGTGGAATGTCTAAATATGGTCATGATGACAACAAAACATGACCATATATAGGCACATCATGACCATATATAGGCACATTGTTACTACATATAGGTACATCATGACCATACATACAGTAGGCACATCATGACCATATATAGGCACATCATGACCATATATAAGCACATCATGACCATATATAGGCAAATCATGACCATGTATAGGCACATCATGACCATATATAGGCACATCATGACCATATAGGCACATCATGACCATGTATAGGCACATCATGACCATGTATAGGCACATTATGACCATACATAGGCACATCATGACCATATATAGGCACATCATGACCATATATAGGCACATCATGACTATATATAGGCACATCATGACCATATATAGGCACATCAAGACCATATATAGGCACATCATGACCATATAGGC